TGTTGCCTCTGAGGATGCATATGAAGGATGTGTGTGCGGCTGTGGCTGGGCTGCTGCAGGTGCACTGTGTCTGTGGGGCGAGCGCATGTGGCTCTCATCAACAGGTGGAAAAATGCCATGGGGGAGGGGTAAAAGTCCAATGCAGCAGAGAGGGCAGCCCCGCTCTTGCCTCCTCCTTGCCCCTGTAGAGCCTCAGCTTCCCCTCAATGGACAGTACTTGAAGGACTCTAGGAACACCCCATGGTCATGAGGAAGATGGCAACATGACTAGGACAAGATAGGGGCTCTGTGACCTGTCCCTAAGAAGACCCTGTCCCTGTGACAACTGGGTGTGCCCAGGCCTCCGCCCCCTCGCTTGCCCCTTGAGGGCTTCCACCTGCCCTCCTGAGGAACGCTGTACTCTCATGCTGCCCACCCACACTGTCCCCGAGGGGCAGCCACAGCTACATTCCAGGCAGGTTTCTTCCCTACATCCCCTGAGCACAGCCAGGGGAAGCTTCAAAACCGCTTCTCTCTCCCTGAAACGAACCAGCACAAAGACCATAGCTGCTGCCAAAACCCTCAAATGCTGACCTGGGCAGGGAGCACCGCAAGCTGTGCCACTGACTGGCGAGCAACAGCTTAATACAAGTGCACTCACTCTTCAGACTGCCCTAGCTGTCCATTGTCCATCGCTGCCCTCACTCTACTGGGTTCAGAGGTGAGGCCACCAGCCCAAAGTAACACAGCAGTGAGTGGTACGGCAAGGATGGGAATGTGGGTGGGTCTCTCTCCGAAACCCAGGTTGCTTCTCTTCCTCCATTCTGCCCTTCTCAGTCCCCTCCTCACCCCACCTAAGGTGGGAGGGGGAACACAACTACACACAGAACGTTTAGATAATTTGTTCTTTGGGCTCATTAATGCTCCTTCAAGTGACGATATGATCTAGTATTCAGTGGGTAGGCGCTGGAGCCCCACTGCCTGGACTCACCCATACTGGCTGTGCAAGCTTAAGTTAATTACTCATCCTTGCTGCATTTCCTCGCGTGTCATCTGCAAAATTGAGCTGCTGCTGCTGCTAATAATAATAATAATATCTACCTTCTTGGGTGTAGTTAAGGATTGAGTGGGTTGCAATATGACAGCTGCATTAGAAAGTTGCCTGGCCCAGCCTATTCCCTTCCCAACTTGAAATTACTCACAGTAAGAAAGATTAATAATTCTATTAACCATAACCTTTACATTTCATTCCTTCGTTTCTGCGATGCAGTGTGGAGCTGGTGTTATCCACACTTCATAGGTGAAGACTGGGCAACTGTGAGAGCAGAGGCCAGGGCCTGCCCCGAGCCCCACCGCAGAGGCTGCCTGCTCCTCATCAGCGCGGTGCTTCCCTGGAGCAGTGCGTCTCAAAGGGTGGTCTGAGGACTGGCAGCATCAGCACCACTGAGGGTTTGCTGGAGGTGCAGATTCCGGGCCCCACCTCTGACCTACTGAACCAGGCTCTCTGGGGTGGGGCCCGGCAATCCGTTTAGCCAGCCCTCAGGGATTCTGATGCTTGCCAAAGCTTGAGAAGAACTGGGCTAGACCTCTGAAGGGGTTGCTCTGTGAACCCAGGAGCACCCCACGTGAGGCCTGTGGAAGAAAGTGGAGGAGGAAGAGAGTCAGACCCTTGGCCCACTGTGTGACCTCAGGCCACGTCCTCATCCTCTCTGGGCCTAGAATCTGTCATATTTCTTGGCATGGGAGTAGAGGAGGCAGGGAAGATTCTTTGAAATTCATGGCCACCTCTCCTCCTCTGTGCTGGTGCCCTGCTCCTATGAGTGCTGCTTTCAGGAGCTCACGTGTTTGCAGCCACCTCATCCTGGCCTTAGCTCTGTTGCTGTTTTTGGTACCTTGGAGATGACACTTTGTGACCTCATGGACCATAACCAAAGCCCAAAGTGATAAACACTGGATCATCAAGAAAAGGGTACATCGGGTTTAGCCTTTAAGCAGTTAAAGCGGAGGAAAAAGTTGCATGGCTCAAAGGCACAACCCCTCGGGTTCCCAGCAGCCTAGTGCTACAGAAAGCTGCGGTTTCATGGTCCACAGCTCAGCACAGCATCAGGTTGTGGAGACGCTTCTGATCCTGCCCTGCCTGGTCCATCCCCCCAACTCCCTTGGGGCCTCTGAGAGCCTCCAGTCCCTTCAGCCACAGTAGTCACTGACGGGACTCTGAGCCAGGAGCCTTTCGTGTGGTGGTTGTGGGGTATTTGGGGCCTCACCAGCACCTGCTTCCCCTGCCTTGGTAACGCTAAGTGCTTCCATGAGGGGGTGCCTCGTGCCTCCATCGAGAACAGAAAACCAGCAGAGTTAAGTCCCTCATTCTCTGGCCACGAATGAGGACTTGGAGCCTGAGGACTTGGATGGGCCTGCCCACCATGTCCGCTGTGTGACCTCCAGCAAGTCACAGAGTCCCTGCAGGCTTCATCTCTCTCTGTAAAATGGGGGCAGGGGATAAGTAAAGAACCTCCCCTCGTCGGACAGCTATGGGCAGGGGATAAGTAAAGAACCTGGCCCCAGGCCCGGTCCTGCAAGCCCTTGATATTCCCACTCAGCAGACCAGCTACTCCCCACCACTGGGCCATTTATAACATCCTCCTGCCCCTCCAGGAGGTGGCCTAGAGATGGTGTGGCCTGAGCCCATTTGCCCTAGGGAGAAAGTGAGGGGAGTCAGGGGAAGAACTGGGGAACCCAGGGTTCTGCCCTAGAAGGCAGGGCCCAGAAGGGGCTCATGAGGTAACTCCCAGACTCTCAGGGGCTCATGTGAGTGCTGGGCAGAAGCAGGGAGTGACATCTCTGCAGTGAGATCTGGCCTGAAAATCAGAAGACCTTGGTTCAATTACTGGCTCCATAGCTGTGCTGTGTGACTTTTGGCAGTTACTTAACCTCTCTGAGCCTGGTCAGTAATTGAGAATAAAGGTCTCTGAGTTTCCTGGTCAGTCATTGAGAATAAAGACACCTAACTGGAAGGCTGCCTATACTCTCATTTGCCACATGAGATGAAGGACTGACCCACAGTGAGCAGTCAGCAAACAGCAGTGGAGACTAAATTGGCAGTCTAGGGTGCCATGGGCCTTTCCACCCTGGTTCTACAGTTAGATCAGGACAGCAAGGCTCAGAGAGGTTTAGCAGCTCGTCCAAGGTTACACAGGATGTGCACATCATCGCCTTTCTGGGCCACTAGCTCCTGCGTAGGACCCTCAGGTTTCAATCTGGCCTGAGGTGAAATCCTCCCAGGGAGCCTTAAGCCTGACTTGGTGCCCGAGCGGATTTTTTCATCTCAGAATGGTAGTCCTGAGGACACAGGAAGAGATGCATCTCTTATATCTTCACTGACAATGCATGAAGGAATGGAAGCATTTCCACAAAAATATCAACACCGTGAAGCCTTAGCTGTCTGTTGATGGGCTGCCCAGGAGAACTCCCCATTTCTGGAGGTGTGCCAGCAGAAGCTAAGTGACACTGGTGAAGAAGAAAGCTGGACTTGGTGGCCTTTAAAAGATCCTCCACAAGGCTGCCAGGCAAGCCTGAGTCTGCTTAGTTTCCACCCACCCTTACTCCTGCAAACTCAAGCTCTGCCTCCCGGACTTGGCCTTCAAGGCCTCTGGACTGAATCATCCTCTGTGCTCTCATCTGGCCCGGGAGTTCCAAAAAGGTAGGCATTGGACATTTTTATTCAGCGATTGTCCTGGGCCCACCAGAGAAGAGAGGTCGTGTTTACTGAACAAAGGTCCCCGCAACCAGGAACTTCACACATGTCGTTACAGGCCATTCTCATACACCGGGTACTGTTATTAGTTTCACTTTTCAGGTCAGCAAACCGAGGTCAGGAAGGTCGAGCAACCTGCCAGAAGTCACACAACAACATGACTGCCGAAGAAGTGAAGAGATGAAGGAAGGGGTGCTGAGCCTGTGGGCTTCCCGGCTTTTAGCCTCTGGTCCCCAGAGGCATCTGCAGCAGGTGGGCACACTTGGTTGCCCATCTGCCTCAAATGTTGGGGAGCCCCATCCGGGCACTGAGTAAGGTGGAACCCCACGAGCTGACTAACCACAACCACAGCCTCTGGGGGGCGGGGGAGTGAGAGGCAGGGCACTCACCCCCAGCCCACCATAGCCCCAGCCCCGCCCTCCTGGGCCCTAGCAGAAGCTCTGCCATAGCCCAGTGATTTCTGTTTGGTAGCAGCTCCAGGAAGGGTGAGGCAGTGCTCAGTCAGCCTGGGCCTGGATGGCGGGGAGCTGGTCCGATATGCAAGGCCAGGAACTGCCCGAATGATCCAGTCACTCTGCTCATACTGCAGGGCAGCTTCAAAGCACTTTCCTGGACATTTGGCCCCTTGGACAGGGACCTGGAAAAGGAAGCCCGCAGGATAGAGGAGTATCCACCAACTGCCACAATAAAGGCAGTGAGAAGTTGCCTAACAACCACTGGGTGCAGGCTCCAGCTGGATCCATTGCACTTAGTTCTAGCACCAACTCCAAGTAGTAGCTACTATCTTTCCCACTTTACAGATGGGGCCCTGAGGTTCCATTTGACCAAATGGAGCATTAGAGACCAGGGAGGGGGCTGGATGGACCAGCTAGGACCCTATGGACATAGATCTGAGGCCTTGGGTGGCTGAGAGGGAAGAGAAAGAGGTTTGGATACCTTTCCCAGGCCCTGCTGAGGGATTCCTTACCTGCACCTCGTGCCCATCCCCTCAGTGCAGCTCAGGCCTCCTCCTTAGGGAAGCTTTCCCTGATTTCCTCCTCTAAGGCTAGGTCAGGCCCCTGGGGCACCTGCTGTCACAGCTTGTCCTCTCTGGGTTGACCCCATCTGCTCAGATCCATCTCCACAGTAGACTGAACAGGCAGAAGAAAAGACAGTAACTGTAGGGACTTCAGGAAATCCCACTTCTGAGCCCAGCCTTACCCTGATTTGCCAGAAGGCCCTGGGTGGTCACTTTCATGCCTGTAAAATGAGGCACCCTACCCCACTCTAGGGCTGGTGACCATCAGGGAAGAGAAACACTGTGGAAGACCATCAGGGAAGAGAAACACTTCCACCCCCAGAACCAGGACCTGGAGGACAGCCAGGGCCCCTCTCCTCTAGGGACCCGCATCCTGGAGCCCACAGGCAGCAGAGCAGGGTACCTGTGATTTGGTGGGGACAAGGCATCTAGAAGAGGGGTGGCTTTGGGGAAGATCTGCTTCAACCTCCGATCTAAACGACAATACCGCCACCCTATATTTGCACAATACTTTAAAAAATCGGCCAAGATAATGCCCAAACTGAAGCAGACTTGGCTTTATGGACAGAGTGGGCTCAAATCCCTGATTCTTACAAGCTGTGTGACTTTAGACATGCCACTTAACCTTTCTGAGCCTCAGTTTCCCCAACTATAAATAGGGACCTTACTAGTCTCAGACAATTGGTTTTCATGTGTACACACTGCCCCCGCCCTAGCCTCAGTTTCTCCGTCCGAAAGCTGAGGACTTTGATGGTGCTATTTCACAGGCTGTTGAAGGGCCCCGCAGATGATGGAGGAGTACGGGTCTAGACGCTAAAGCACAGTTCGGAGAGGAAAAGTGACCTGCCAGGACCCACCAGAGCGGGCGGCTTGGTGCGGGGAACCCCCTCCGCGGCCGCCCCAGGGCCAGAGAAGGGTCATTTCCTTCCGCATTCAGCCCCGCCGTCACCTCGCCTGTTTGCCCCCGCGTTAAGTGCGGCGGCGCCAGCAGCTGGGAAATCGGGGCCAGGCCGGATTTCCTCTGTGGACCTGCGGCTCTTAGAGCCACCGCGCCCCCCTCCGGACCCCGCGGGGCCGCGAACTGCACGTGCGGCGGCCACCGGGACGGGCCTAGCTCCCACGGCGCTTCCTCTGCGACCCCTCTCCCTCCCGCCCTCTCATCTCACCCCTCTGGGTCCCCGCCCCTTCCCGGCCGAGGTCCCAGGGTGATGAAGATGCTTCGCCGCTCCGCCCCAGTCCGCCTCCGCCAGCTCCGGATAAACCGAGGCACGGGGCCAGGCGCTAGGACCCCGCGGCCTCGCCGGAGGGGGGCGTGGCGTGGCGGGCCGGCGGGAGAGGTATTTAAATTGCAGCCGGAGCGCGGGGGCTCCGGTGGGGCAGCTGAGTGGCCTGCGCCTCCTCGGGCCGTGACCCCGGGGTCTGGCGCGGGGTGGGACCCGGGGGCGGGTTTGCGCAAAATGTGCCGAGACTGCCCGGGAGAGGAACTGCGGCCGCGCTGAGCCAGGTAGGAGCCGCCAGGCGGGCGAGGTGGCCGGCCCTCGGGGGGCGCACTGTTGCGCGCCCCTCGCGAGCGCAGGGAGGGGTCTGGTCCCGCGAGACGCCCCCCAAACCCTCCCCTCCCGCCGTCCCCACTGCGCGCGTGGGGCTGGGGCTGACCCTCCCTCGGTTCCTGGGAGGCCCCCAAGGCTCCTGTCTCCGCGGAGCTTTCCCGCAAAGGAGTGAGACCGAGGTTCCCATTTGACAGCTGGGAAAACAAAGGCCTGAAGACCGGACTTGCCCAGGAACACACAGCTAGGCAAGGGCAGACCGGAATTTGAATTCACGTTTCCTGCAACGTTCCGATCCCGGCCAGGCGTGGGGCTGCCCATCCCACAGCACTAGATGGCCTGCCCATTTCTCGTAGTGGGGTGGGAGGCACCTACCGCTCTGCAAGGGGCTCTGAAGCCAGCCTTCTTCATGGCTGGTAAGATGTGAGGGACCCCCACCCCCACCCCGAGCTGCCTGAAATTCCGCCATCACAGCCACATTCCTTTGGGTTAAGGTCTAATTCCCCCGTGGGATGCACATGTCTCCAGAACGAGGCTTGCCCTTAGTGATTCACTGCTTGACAGGAACGTCCGCAGCAGCTCTCCCAGGACCCCACTCTGCCAGTAAGTCAGCTGAGGCCGAGAGGAGGGAGAGAGGACCTCAGAGCCCAGACTGTGAGCTAGTCTGCCCTGCTCCTGCATGTGAGGGGTCGTTGGCAGGGCTTAGGGAAGGAGACCTTGGTCCGGTATAGTGGAAACATTTGCTTTGGAGGTAGATGAACTGGATTCTGATCCTGACCCTGCTATTTGCTCCTTGTGTGACTTTAGGTAAGTCACCTCTCTGAGCCTCCTTTTCTTCATGGGCAAAAGAAGACAGTTCTGTGGGGGGAGTCGGCTCAGCTTGTGCTGGAGAAAACACAGTATTCAGGTCATGTAGAACTGGATAAATCCGAGCTCCAAAGCCCTTGTGAGCTGGGTAACTCTGGGGGTAAGTCACTTCACTTTTCGGAACCTGTTTTCTCAACTGTAAAATGGGAATTACAGTAATTGCCTCAATAGGTGATTGTGAGAATTAAATGAGGTGATATAGGTCAAGTGCTTAAAAGACTGTCTAACATCCTTAAATGTAGGGGTGGGCTTATTGTGATAGTAGTCATTGCCCCCCGTACCCCTGCTCTCTTACCCCTGCTCTCTTCTCTCTCTGTCTGTCTCTCTCTCACACGCGCGCGCGCGCACACACACACACACACACACACACACACACACACACACACATATTCTTTAGCACTTTTCTGCCTCCTCTTGCCCAGGCCACTTGTCTGCAGGCTTGGGGCCTCCCCACTGAGCACACCTCACCTGGGATGCTCAGCCCTGCGAGGGTCACTGTGCCAGCTGGAAGGACAGTGAGGACGCAGGGCACCTTTGCTGCTATTCTTTGCCGGATCATCACAATAGTTGGGGTTGGCCAGTGGCAGAACTGGAACCCAGCTGCCTGCCCTGCAACAGGACACTGGGGCACCAAGAAATGAAGGAACTTACCCTAGGGAGCAGAGCTGGTGAGTGGTGGGCTTTGGATGCATGCCTGGGTCTAAGTGACACCGTCCTCCTTTTTGAGAGAGAGTAGTCTTGGGCACCACTGAGGAGGGCCCACAGCTGAGGGGCCCTTCCTGTCAGATGCCAGGACAGAGTGCCCATGTGCTCCAGGGACGGTCCCTTCTGGATGTGCACAGGGCCACCTTGGGGATAGAGTGGGGTTTGGCAGAGGAAGGGGAAATAAGGGCCTAGGACCCTTCCTTGTCCTCACCTGGCACTCTCCACTCAGTCTGCTGCAGCTGAGCTTCTGCCCTGACTTTGCCACTTGTTCACTAGTCTTTAGTGAGCACCTACTTAGTAGGCCCCTGTTCCCACATGATAAGAAATAAATGATGAGGAAATGATACATGTGGGAAAACAATGACATGTGTGAGGAGCTGAGGAAGAGCATTCAGGGAGAGGAAACCGCAGGAGCAAAGGCCCTGAGGCAGGAATGAATTTGCTGTGTTGAAGGAACAGCAAGAAAGCTGGAATTTAGTGAGGGAAGGGAAAATGGACAAGAGTCAGAGAGGAGACTGTGGATGGCCTGGATTTTCTTGGAGATTTTCAAACAGTAGAGGTTTAGGGTCTGACAGATGATTTTATCTCTCTGGCTGCTAGGTATAGGACAGATTATAAGGGGTCAGTGTGTTGTGGTTAAGGCCGGTATTGGGGTGGCATCTCAGTCTGTGGCAGTGACAAGAGGGAAGTAGGAAGATCTGGGGTCTCTTTTTCAGGGAGAGCAGTCAGAGCCCTCTGATGGCACAAATAGGGGAAGGGAATGTGGCAGGGAGGTGAAGGGAGAGCCAAAGAGAACTGCTGTCACTAACGACCCCATGTCACCAATACTCCTGGTGTCAGTTCTCTGTGCCGCTGCTGACCTGCTGTGTGCTGTGAGATGCATCTCAGGACGGTGAGCCCCTCTCCAGGGGCACTTCCCATGGGAGGGGGGTGGGACACAGTACCCACGGAGGGCTTGGTGCTGTGCTCACTGGAAGCTCGGGGGCTCTGGGAGGACTGGAGGACATAGCCCAGACTTGGGGAACCAAAGAAGACCTCTTGGCCCATCTAAGCTGGGACCCCAAGGATGAGGAGGTCTTTAGTAGAAGAGGAGAGGGGAGGAAGTGAAGGTTTGGGGCAGGGAAAATCTGCTCAGGGAACTGATAGAAATATGAGATGTCCAGAATCCAGAGTGTGAGAGGGGACACTGGGGAAGGAGGCTGGAGGGAAGAGCTGGCCAGGCAGGGCATGCTCCCCAACGGCCTGGAAGGCCCTGCAAAGGGGTTTTCACTCAGTTCTGAATATGCTAACTTTTTAACGGGCGGTGGCGTTCTGCTTTTTAAACAGTAGAACAAAGTTTCCTGTGAAAGCGCAACCTGTAATGCAGGTGAGAGCAGAGCAGCTGCGGGGGCAGCGCCTGTGGCCCTGAGGGGAGCCAGGGAATAGGGTTCACGGGTCCGGCTGTGGTCTGTATGCCTTCAAGCCAGATGGGATTCACAGCAGCCATCTTCATCCAAAGCTCATCATTAGTGGGTTCCAACAGTCAAAGACGCTGCCCTCAAAAGCCCTGTAAATGCCTTTTCTCCTGCAGCATCCTTCAAAATCGCGGTTCAGCACTCACTCAGGGAGCACCCACTGTGGGAGGCCTGAGAGTGTGAATTTGAAGGGCACAGACCCAGGATCCAGACTTGCCTGGGCCAGTGGCTTGTTCACCGCGTGACCTCGGGCATAGTACCTAAGCTCGCTGAGCTTTCTTTTTCCCTTCTGTAAAATGATCATGGAACCAAGTCATTGAATTTTTGTGAGGATGGAATGAGTTCACGCCTAGAAAGTGCCGAGAAGAGGGCCTAGTGCATAATGGGGGCTCTGGTAGTGGCATCTCATTTGATTCTCAACAAAACTTGGCATGGCTGCCATTAACCTCAAATGAGGAGACTGAGGCTCAGAGAGGTGAAGCGACTTGTAAGGTCACACAGCAGGAAGGTAGAGGAGACAAGAGGGAGCAGTCGGATGTGGGTGACTGTGCGCCTGGTGCTCTTGGAAGGCTTTCTGTGTCCCTCTTTAAGACTCTCTGTATCGCTGTCACTTCTCTTTTGTGTTCATTTGTTTTCTGAGTTCCCGGTTCCCAGCACAGAGCCAGACATGAGGAGGTATTCAGTAAAGGTGTGAATGAATGAATGAAATTCATGGATGGATTTGTATATCCCTAGCACTTGGCCAATGTCCTTAGTGAGGGGGTGAGTGAGCCTCCAGCAGCACTGGGATTTGACCCTGCTGAGGGCCTGTGCAGTCCCCTTAGCCCCACCCCTGGCTGCTCTCAGAAGGAAGGGCTGGCCCAGGAGGCCAGAGTGTGGCTTCAGTGAAAGTACAGGGCCTGCCAGGCTGCTCCTGGGGAAGTCCGCAGAGCAGTGCTGGGGCAGCCAGGCCTCCTGTGGGGCTTCCTGTCAAGGCCCGGGCCCAAGCCTTGAACAATGGCAAGGGCTCGAGAATCAGAGAATCAAAAGGAAAAGGGCAAAATAAAGGTGGGGGAGTGGGCAGAAAACGAGGAATTCCATATGGGGACTGAGGAGCTGGTATGGAGGACTTGTGTGGCCTGGGTGGAAATGTAGTCAGAGGCCCACCCTCCAAACCCCCTCTACATCCCCATGCCCCCATTCCCTGGCCCTGAGCATGGCCTAGGGTAACCCTTAGGGTCTGTCAGCCTTCTGTGCATCCCCTCCGGGCTGTCTTCCGGCGGGTGGGGTCTTTTGAAAACCCCCATCTGGCCAAGTCACCTGCCGCTTTAAAACTCTTGCTTCCCCTGGGTAACAGGCGGCTCCTTGGCCTGGGTGAGAGGCCTACTATGATGGGCTGCAGGCCCATTTCCCACGCGGCTCTCCCCTGCTCAAAGCACCTTTACTCCAGCTCCAGCCGTGCTCTGAGGTTCCGAGGGCAGGCACAGAATGGGTGGGAGTGGGGACTGGCAGTGGGAAGGAGCCAGTGGTCTTACAGTGTTCCCCTTTCCTCTCCGCCCTACACAGAGCCATGAGCCCCCAGATCCTGCTGCTCCTGGCCCTGCTGACCCTAGGCCTGGCTGCACAACACCAAGACAAAGTGGCATGTAAGATGGTAAGATGCTCTGCCCAGACAGGGTGAGGGCCACCCCCACCTCCCTGCCCTAGGGTGTGCTAGTGCCCCAGCCCCAGAAGCCAGAAGTTAGAAGAGTCAGGAGAGGAAAGGGAATGTACCTTGCATTTAATGAGCACCTACTAGAATGTTTAAACACCTTGTTTACCCAACAATCCTGCCAGGTAAGCACCATTATTCTCATTTTGCAAAGGAGGAGACTGAGGCTAGGAGAGGTTGTGACTTTTCCAAGGTCATTCAGCTGGGAACAGTGAGGCTGATATTACACTGTATTC